ATTTTGCCTGGGTCTGGTCAGCAGGACACACTGGGGGGAATGGGAGGAATGCTCCAGGGCAGTTGAGCTATGGGGACTGGTCCTTTCAGGGTGTGGTGGTGCAGGATCTCATGGTTTGAGGTTCTGGTTTGGGGGGGCACTGGCATGCCATGCCCCAGAGCTGCGTGGTGTCGAGGTGCTGGTGTGTTGTCAGGTGGGGGATGCTTTCAGGAGGTGTGAGAATAGATCATTGTGTGGGTTTTTATCAGAAAACAGGCCGGGGAGCAGGAAGCCTGTGAGGTGTGGGGAGGCAAAAGGTTGCACTCGCCTCCTCGGTCCAGGGCTTTCACTGCATTAACATTCAGTCGCTGTGACTTCAGGCCCGTCTCCAGCGACGTGCCGGGACATGGGTCTCAATGGGGGCCCTTGATCCCAGTCCCTGGGCTGAGCTGCAGGTGTCTGGAGCCATTCCCGCAACAGGCATCTGCCCTTTGTGGCTTCCTTGCTCCCGTTCCACCTTCCTCCTCCTCCTTGCCCTTCCTCCTCCTTGTGCTCCGAGCTGCTCCCTCCTTTCTGGCTTTCCGGTGGCTGCAAACAATGTCCTTATTCACTCAGTGGCTGGGATTTGGCGGTGAGGGGAAGGCCCGGGCACAGAGGAGAAGGAAGGAGGGAGGCAGAGAAGCTATCATGCCTGCCCTGGGCCAGCTGTGGTTAAAGGCACTCTGGGGCGGTCTGTCTTTCTGCTCCCCCCAGTTTCCTATGGGAACAAGGGTTGTGTGCTCTTGTCGTTTGTCCACCTGCCCTCTGTAGTACCCTCCAAACTTGTGGCTGGTTTCAGCCCAGTTTATTGGGAATTAGCATCCTGCAGGTGTCCCACAGGTTGATGTGTGGGACATGGTTGCTTTTGCTGGGGGAACATCCCTGTAGGATGCACAGCACATATTAAGACATCAGAGGAGCTGCATGGGCTTCCTTTACCCCATGAACACAGAAAGGCTTTTCACTGCTCCAGCTCCCATTTAAAGTCAGAGCTGCTCGGCAGGTCGAGGGGCACCTCTCTGGCTCTGGTGCAGCTGCCAGGCTCCTTCCTGAGACAGATGAGAGTCAGGCAGGGTCTGGCCAGCACCCAAGCCCCTGGGGAAGGGGTGCTGCGGGCTCTCCCCTGCCAGCTTTCCCTGGGAGGCACACAAGGACCATTCTTGCAACAGGCGAAACCTTGGGGCACATCATGGGATTTTGCTGCACCAGCCCCAGCCCCAGGGCCATGGGGTGCAGGGGGCTTTGAAGGGGGGATGTGAGGAGTGCTTTGCTCCAAGCAGGGCAGGGGTGTAATGCACTGTTATCATGGGCTCAGCAGCAACCACAGACTTAGCCCTGTCCTTTGGGAGAGGACAGTGGTGAGACCAGCCTAAAAAAAGCCATGGAGACATCTTGCCTGCAGACTTCTTTCTGCCTGGGACGTCTCGGGAGGGTGTGGGCTCCTTCCCACACCCCAGTGCCCCCCTTTGCAGTGGGGGGTTGCTGGGCTGGCTGAGCTGGACCAGTGTGTGTAACACAGCTGACACTTGTGGTGCTGCAGACGGATGATGGCTCTAGGATGAGGAGCCCAGATGCCCTGTGCTGTCAGAGCTGCTAAACTCTGGCTGCAAGCATTCAATGTTGCGGAAGTTTGCTCTGTTGGGGCAGCCCAGTCCCCCAGCAGACATCCCTCATCCCCTGCCTGGGGGTGGAATGAGACCTTGCAGCACTCGCTTTACTTCCTATAGAAATGATCCTCCGAGTAACATTTATTTCCCTGCCAGCACATGACCTCAGCACCCCAAACCCTCCCAACTTGCTGCAGTTGCTCCCTAAGATTCACCCTGTTCCGGTGGCAGTGGGGCTCCTGATCAGCAAGCAAAGGATAACCTCTGATTGTTTCTCCTTCCACCTTCAGTGGTCCTGCTCCTGCACAGGGTTGATGGCCATGGTGTGTTTGTAGAGACCTTTGCTAACCTCCTCTTAGGGCTTAGCCTTCCCCCCGTTATGTTTTTCCATGAGAAGTGGGGAGATTACTTGCAACTCCAGCAGAATAAAGTGGTGTCCAGCAACGAGCCCCTCTCACTGGGGCTGGACCAGCCTCTTACCCTGGTCACAGATTAATTTCTTAATGAGTTAGATGAGTTCCCTCTCGGCTGCTGTTGGAACACAGAGCATTTTTAACAGCCGTTTTGCAGACCGGCAGCGTGTCTCGGTACAGACAAAGTGGGATCACAGAGTCGCTTGGAGCCCGGGAAGGGCGCCTGTACGGAAGGAGCTGCGTTTCTCTCAGCATCAAGGTCATGCATGAAATATGAGAAATTACCCTGAGAAATTCTGATCCTGGAGGAGGAGTTCATGACTTCAGAAATACCAGATTTGGGAGGGGATGGAAGGGGAAGGGATATATTTTCCTTTTCAAAATACCTAAGGAATTTAGCCCGTGCTGCGGAGACAATGAGATTTCACCCCTCAGTGCCAGAAGGGGTAGTTCAGACCCTTGTGTCTTGTTAAGGTTTCAGTTGCTGTGGGTGAAAAGCCCTCCTATCCCGCTGCAATCCCAGGCATGTACAGGTTTTAAATCGCCCTAAAATCAAGAGAGTAGCTGAAATGTGAGGTTTAAAGAAAACACTCCATGTCTTCTATTCTCTCTGATTTCTATGTCTGTAGGTTAGATTTTGGTCACTTTTTTCCAGCTGTGAGGGGCTATTAAATTAACTTATATGTACAGAAAGTTGCTTATAGGTATATTTATGTACGTTTTTGTGATTTCACATAATTGTATGATTCCAGGAGCAGAGCGCCCTGAGGTTACAAAACACAAAGGTTGGCAGCTCTGCCACGGCAGCTGCAGGGTGGTGGGAAGGGGACGATGGTACGTGCATGTCTGGGGCTGTTCGGTCTGTCCCTCACACTGGTCGGGCTGGCAGGGTGGCCTCTGCCCGCCTGGCATCTGCCACTGATGGAAAACCCTGCTTTCCCCCATGAGGCCACCCCAGCAGTATCGGGGCAAAGAGCAGGGCGGCCTCAGGGCAGCTCCATGTCAGATGCCTGATGCCGGAGTGGGATGGGGGTTTGGCCTCTGTGTCCAGTGAGCCATCATGCTTGGATCCTGTCCCACATTCTTGCCCAGCCCTGCCCCAGCTGGCATCTGGGGGATGCGGGCTGGGGACCTGGCTGCACCCAGGCCCCCACCACACTCAGCCATCCTCCCGGTGGGCTGGTGCGGGGTGGGTCTGGCTGCTCGTGGTGGAGACTCCTGCTCTGCCAGCAGGGAGGGAGGGGTAGGGAAGGGCTCAGTGCGAAGGTTTGCCTTGTCTTTTGGCTCTCCAGTTTGGGGAGCAAGAACCTCAGCCTGCGCTGCAAGACCTGCCCCTCTTCCCAGGCTCCATCAGCCTCCTGCATGCAGGGATGCGGGAAGGCATCTCCTTCCCTGGAGCAGGCAGCTTTCCTGTTGACTGTGATTTCAGTGCAGAAATTCCAGCCTGCAGATGCTGGAGCAGGATCCAGAGCGAGGTGCACTGTGCTCCGCGCCAGGGGGGATGTTGCAAACCCTGTTTTGAACCAGCAGTGCTTGGGAGCAGGTTGTGTTGACATGCACCTGCCTGCACTGCTGCCGGAGCAGGTTGCTGCCCACTGTAGAATGACTCTTTTATGATGAAAAAAGGAGATTTTTACTATATGCATCAGACCTTTCTCCATGTAGACACTCCCACCTATTCAGCTGGTCTTAAACACAGCAGCAGCAATGCCCTTGGATGCTTGCAGGCCCTCATCTTTCTGTATGCATGCGCCACCAAATGTCCCCTCATGCCTGGGGGTCTCCTACTGCCCCTCAGACCCTGTTTCAGTGTCCATGTGCATGGGTGGGTGCACACATGAGGGCACTGGGCAGCATGTGGAGTACCAGTGGGAAGCTGGAGGTTTTTTAGCTCATTATTATCAGTGGTAGGAGCCCCATGGCAGCAAAGCTGGAGGGGTCTGAGGCCTTAATGCTCCCGAATTGAGTCGGAGGTGACAGCCTTTCCCTGCAACACAATTAATCCCGGCAGTGCCTCTGCCGCCCTCCCCCTCCCGCCTCGTCCAGGAATTAATTACTTGATTATAAATCCCTGAGCAACGGTTTATAATAGCAATAATCCCCTCGAAATTCATCCTTGCTGCTGGTTTCTTCCCATCTCGCCCCCGTCGTTGTGTCTCTAAAGCCATATCTCTGTGCCAGGTGAAGCCCTTCTCACCGTGCTGGTGCCGTGGCTTGTCCCCGGGATAACCACAGGGGGAGAGAATCTGGACTTGATTTTACAGGGCATTTTGGGAAGCTCTGCTCCTGCTCACAGGGATGGAACCCTTCTCTCACGGATGGGGAAGCGTGCAGGAGCGAGGCGCTCATGCTGATAGCTGGGGAATAAGGTTTTGTCCCAGTTATTAGGCTGATGGCCCAGGCCCAGCCCTGAGGAGTGGGGGCCGGGGGCTGGCAGTGTGGTGGGGGGAGGCCTTGTTCCTCCTCTCTCTGTCCCTCCCGATTACACTGATGCTGGCTCTGGGGCTTGTCATGGAGGCAGGGAAGGCAGAAAGGATTTGGCATAGCACACAGGGGTGTGAGGGGGGTGGCCATGTCTCACAGGAGCCTGCTGGCGATGGGTGATGGGCCTCAAAACGGTGCTGCCACAGTGGCAGATTTGCTCTCTGTGTTCCCCCCCAAACCAAACCCCAGTGACTGTGTCGCAGAAGGTTACCCAAGGGGATGCCCCCATCCAGGGGGCGCAGATCAAGGTCCTCAGCTGATAAGGCAGCCCGGGACACACAGCCCCTCTGTGTGGCCATTGAAGTGTCAAGACTTCCACCTCCACCAGCCACGCTTGGGCTTTCACCTCAGCCGTGGCACCCCCCGCAACACCT